ATTGGTAGTCACTCGTGTCCGCAGCCAAGGGGGGAACTGATATTTCCTTGATGGTTAGAACTTATGCCATTCAGTGCCAAGCTTTTCCAGCCACTACTTATCCAATATGAGACTAGTTGATTAGCGGTAAGTGACCAGTGTAGATGACTGGTTTTTAATATACACAAGACCAATTAGTTAGTTGAATAATCTACTTACTGTAAAGGACAGCTGACAGAACAGGTTGGTTAATTATGATTTACCTCGTAATTTTAAGTAATATCTTGAAGTCATTTAGTTCATGGACGTGATCGGAAGATGTATGCAGAAGTTGTTTTTAACAGGTTATCTGAAGTAAGGTTTTCGGCTTATGACTGTGAAAACACTACAATATTCGTTCTTATTTGGTTTGGAAAATATAGTTTGTTATTGTCAATTTTTTATCTTTGAAATGGCTAACTCCGCTTGTTGTTTTCACCTATACATATAGTGAACAGGAAATATTGTGAGAAGCTCTTTTCTAAAGTAGACAAAAAACATCCAAAGTTATGGATTTAAATATACCGTTGGTTTAGTAAGTATGCCAAGCTAAATGAATTATTTCATGTACTCTGGCTGTTCCTCCAAATCTGTTAAATGTTATATGTATTACTGATAAGTTGAATTACTGTAAATAACCAAACAATATCATTTTACAAGTGTAGAACATGCTAAAATGGACTGTGAATTGATGCCAATTTCAGGCCATACTTTCCTCAAAAACGCATTTTCAAAGTAGAGCTATTTCAATTAAAAATTAAGCGTGAAGAAATATGCATGTGAAATTTCATTATTAGTCTATGTTCTTATGATAAACACTCATAATATTCTGAGATGGAAATGCATATCTCTAAAGTATACGATAGATCAGAATTTTACTAAACTTTGCAAATAAGTGGAAGCAGTCAAAAGAAATCAATGGAACCAGGTTTTGTGCTTGTCAACACTCATTAGTATGGCGTATCTGCAACCTCAAGAGAGATGATACCGTCTCCGGAATTCAAATCCACGTCACCAGGTGTTTGAGTCAGCGGCTTTAACAGTGAGTTATTCCGACCGCGATAAACATCTTGTAGGAATGGATTAAATACACTGATTGTTAGCGATCCACCAACCAATCAAAGTATATATAAAAATATATATTACTTAGTCAAAATAATGTAAAATCAAGAAAGGGATGGCCAGGTTTGTTGATAATAACCACATTGAAACCATAAGGTCGATTCTGGATTAATTTTCAGAATATCTAAAAAAAGAGAAAAGATGATTGTAATGAATAAACATTTTTCCTGTGGACGAAACCCTTTTCTGAGATAAATAGTGATGAATGTATAGTAGGCAGGATAAAACGTCCTAGAGTATTTTCCGGTCAAACATATATTTGAACTGTGTAACAGTGTTACGCAACGCTCATAGGCATTTAAAGTAGAAAAATAAAAAAGTAGTTCCAAGTGGTATTCATCATAGGGTGATATCATTTGCAGGAATATTGAAAAACCAGGAGCACTGGACAGCTACTTCGTCCTAGCGTGTGACTCCACAGTGCAGCGCACATATGAACCCTCAACACCAGAGATCGAACACAGTTCCTTCAGGTTTCGTGAGCAGCACGTCACCATTGAGCCACTGGGTCAAAATAAATTGTTGCTTATTTCAAACTTCTGACAGTTCACGATATAACACAACCATCGCCCAATGTCATCGTTGAGTGTTAGTCCTCATGTCCAGCAGGTTTGCTTCACAAGCTTTCAAACTGAATTAATCTAGTGCTCTTTAGTGACCAGTTTCAAAATATGATTCCTGAGGTTTCAGTGAGGGGTAGTGAACAGTGAGGAAAATCTGGTGTATGTGGTGACAAATACTCAACGGTGACATTGGATGATGGTTGTGTTATATCGTGAACTGACAGAAGTTTGAAATAAGCAACAATTTATTTTGACCCAGTGGCTCAATGGTGACGTGCTGCTCACGAAACCTGAAGGAACTGTGTTCGATCTCTGGTGTTGAGGGTTCATATGTGCGCTGCACTGTGGAGTCACACGCTAGGACGAAGTAGCTGTCCAGTGCTCCTGGTTTTTCAATATTCCTGCAAATGATATCAGCCTATGATGAATACCAACTTGAAAAATCACTAAATCCTCAGAAACCGCTTAACTGAGGAAACGTAACTGCATGAAGAAAATAGTGTCGATATATGGCGATTATCTAGAGTGAATACTGCTCTGCAGTGGCCATGGGGAAGAAAGAGAGATTATACATATTTCTTTTGAATGCATAATGATGGTTTGAACTTTTGAATCACCGACGTTTCAGCTTTACTTAAATGTTTTAACCTCACTCCTTCCGAGTGACTAGAAACCCTGTAAGCAATTCTGATAAAAAGTGCATAGCCACTGAAATTTATAGAAATCAATCTACAGCAAAAAAAATTCACAAGACGCATACATACTGCTCCAAAAAAGGTTTTACTATCAAACTTCGAATTCGATAAACATAATACGGCAGATAATTTCCTAAAGAGGCTGTCAAGATCCATAAACAGAAGATACTTCGCTACCAGTCTTAAAATTATGCCCTCTTACCAGAAACTAATTCATCTGTACTCAAGCGATAAGCTGGAGCACTGGGTCACATAAATGTGTGTATATAAATTTACTTGCCCCTGTAGAGCCGAGTACATCGACCGTAACGTGCGTCAGCTTATGCAGAAAAATCGTGAACACTATCCAACTTGACTGAGAATGGGAGCACGGAAATACATCTTAACCTCTGTAAACTCAGAACATTTTGCTCCTTTTGATGAGTCCTTCGAAATTCTAGGTAGGGTGTGGCAAAGCCACTCAAGAGGAGTGATCTAAAGACATCTATTCATTACTGAAGCGCTAGCAGTTCTAAAGTTCAAACCGCTATTATACTGTCTAAAGAGTTTGCATTATAATGTAATTACACTTTTTTCTGTAATCGTTTTGTTTACTAACCCATTTCAAAGGCCTGCGAAGATTACGTAACTTTCTTTTGTCATCAAATCTATGTCAACCTCATTACCGGAAATTTCAATTTTTTGACATGTATTCACGAATGTGTAGCTAAGAGAACGACTTTGTTAACAAGAGGAATTTTTATTCCCTTCAATCGTCTTCTGTTCTTTCCTATGATCGAATGGGTTTGTTTCAATATTTAAAAAGTAGATTCAGTAACATCAAACTTACCTTTGAAATCAAAACAAAATGTCAGAATCAAGCCTCTATGGAGTATGGACTATTCAGACTACAGTGCTTTTTCTGATATTTATTTCTAATACAAAGAAACAAAATATCCATGAATATATTTACCTGTACTAAACTGATTCACTGAAAACTTGTGTAAATGTCTCATATAGCATTCTGATAAGATCTGGAAACATTCCCGGTGAAATCAAACTGCAGATAATAAACTTATTTTTGGAATACCAAAACAAGACAATTTTCTGTATAAGCGACCAAAGAGAACAAATAAGGGTTTGTCTAAAACGCTCAAGATCTGTCTTGCAAAATGCTTAACTGTCTTCATAATTTCTTATCACTTAGATATATCAAGTGGAATCGATTGCATAATAAGGAGTAAAAACATTTCAGCAATCCTTAAAGTCAAATGTAGTTTTTGTTTGCAGTTATTCAAGCTAGAAGACGCTGTCACTCATCAGAAATATAAGAACTACATACTTAGAGCTGACGTTAGTAAATGTGAAGCCATGTGCGTTGGTAAGACGTTAAGTCAGATGCTTACACCTAGCCGGACTCGGAAAAAGCTTCGAAACCAATAAAAGATTCTCGTCAACTGAAATTTATTGGAATACTCTGTCATTCCTACGAACGCACTTTAGTCACAAACTATTTTATGAAAAAGTAGAGGTCCTATAAAAGGATCACGATTCTTACAAAGAGAAGGTCATTATAGAAGCTTCATGTTATTGATTGTATTATTTTGCAGTCAACATGAATGCGGCAGATCTCATTACATGTCTTCAATTACCCTTTCTTCATACAACTAGTTGGTTTGCACAAAGTGATCACTGATTTCGTATAAAATGATTCAACATAAGTTCGTCTCATAAATTTGATTGACCTATTTTCTGACGATTTTGGATGTTTCAATGCAGTATTTTATTCTTAGTGTAACCTCTTCATTATAACTGCTGATATCTCACTGTTCGATAATATGTTTCATGGTCAGCAAATTTGTCACCTTTAATTTCTTACTACTTTGTTCATACAAACTTGAAAAGTGTCCTTTATCTGTTTGCCCGATCACTCTTCAGAGTTACACTATGGTTTGATTACAATACTATGTTACAGGAATGATTAGTTCACCCATTGTAGTAAACTTTATATATTCATCTAAAAGCCTGATTTCAAATTCATACTCTTGATGAAAACAGTCTTTTAAGAAAAGGTGAAACGTTGGGGAATCATACAAAAATATTCGTATTTTGGGTTTTTTATGCACGAAGTGGGTATCACATGAATCGAATACTTTTCATATGATGATTATATTGACCAACTATCCATTTTTATCCACAAATCCAGTTTCTTTCCTGGCTGAAGTACATTATTAATTTAATACTTTTAATTCGATCATCAGTAGGCATCATCGTAGTTATTTTTGACCGCAAGAAGATTATACGAACTCATTACTACTTTTTCCCAAATTTCACTGTCGCCAATAGTGTTTATGGCTTTCTGAGGCAAATAACATGCACTAATTTTATTTGTCGAGAATAAGGACGATAGAAAATAATACATAGACGAATATTGCAACCAGTTTCTTTACAAGCTTAAACGGTGTAGAAATAAGTGATAAGTGGGTCTTCCATTTACAGAGGGGCTAATGCACCATTTCCTGGTTACTAGGTTATCATGTTACTGCTGTATGAAATTTATGTAGATCCAAGATCAAGGTCTAAAGTTGTTACACTTTCATTCTTCTTTTACACTGAATATCAGGCAAACCCATACAATGTTGGACACCTCAAGAATTCACAAGAGCGTGGGAAGAATATGCTGAGAATTACTGCTGGGTAGCCAGTACTTATTTTATACATTTAACCAGATATCCTCAACCAAATGTTTTAATGTCACAGCCAAATTTTATGCCTGGTGGTTATATAGACACAAATGGTCAACGTGTATTTCAGCCTTATTCAATATTTCCAACATTTCCAAAACCAAAAGTTGGTGAATTGCCAGGTGATGGTAGACTGATAAGTTATTATCAGTGGGCACCTATTCTGTTAGCTGTACAATCATTTTTATTTTATTTACCCTGTCTTGTCTGGAGATTATTCGCTTCACAATCTGGTTTTCAAGTGAGTTACCAAATACACAATGATTAAATTAAGTGTTACATGATCTTAATTTTTATTATTCGTTAGTATATTCATATTTTTTCCAGGTAGCGATTGTTTATCGGTAGAAAAATCTGTGTTGCTTAGTATATAATTATGCATTGGTAAAGAAACGCCAGTTGTTACTTGAATTGACAAAGTGGAGCGGTAGCTTTCATCTGAAAATCATGAAATTGAAGCATAAAACATTTCTCCCGAGATTTTATGTGTGTGTGAACCAAATATCTTGAGCTCATTGCTAACTGATGCTCAGTACTTGTTCTGGGTTGGAACTTATATACTTTTTCAGAAAAATAGGTGGATAGATGGAGTATGAAAGTATAATAAAAATTCATTAGCGCTGGAAACTTGAGATGAAATTATACTACTATTCACTAACCCATTATCATGCTAAGTTGTAATTCAAGTAACTTCAGGATAGCGTTCAGAACCTGGGCATGTGCATGCAACTCTTTCACACCTTTTGGGGACTGTAAGTTATGAAGTTTGGAGATAAACCTAACCAGTGACTACCAAGATCATCAGGTTCACATACGAAGTTTCCTGCAAGGTATTGTACGTAGATATAGAACAAACAGTATTCCGACTGGAGAGGTCTTACGGTATTACATACGTTTTCATCTTGGTTTGAACCATTATGGTCTGGGCTAGTTATTTGATCCTGCAAAAGAGGAAAAATATTTATTGAAAAATAGTCATTTATAAGTGTGGCCAGAGATACAAGAAGGACTGAAGAGTTTTGGAAAGCAACCGTTGCATCTAGTACCTCTGAATTTCATCCTGTAGAAACTAGGTCATCCATATATGATGGATCTTTGTAGTGATACACTAATTTGTGTGTAGTAACAGTAAAGAAATCTGTTCTCAGGATGAATGTAAATGAACTCTTGGTATTTTTTGCAAGAAGATATTGATGTTTCGATGCAGATGGAATTATATACATTTACCTCATTTCTAAGATCCTCATCTGTTCCCCAGATCTTGAAGACAGATTTAAAATATTTAGAGTGTTCACATTTTTAAAGCCAGTTAACCAAAAAATGATTAAGGGCACAATGATATGGAGTAAGTCAAGTTATTTGGACTGTATGTTGCAGATCGAAATTCTTCTTGACAGAATTAGTTAATAGTGCTAATGGACACCATGAAAAAACAGAATCAAGCTGCAGTGTTGATGCAAGTATGAGTGATAGACTATAACTGTACATTCACAGAAAATAACATCAGCCTGCAGAATAATATACCTCAAATTCGTTTTATCAGTGTTAGAGATCCAGCCGCAAGATCATCGAAAACATTGAAGCACTCTACATTTGTCTCCTTTTACTTTGAAAATCAACAGCAAAGTGCTTCGGCAATTTTGTGAGGGATTGAGCCCAGGATCACCAAGTCTGGTGCTAAGTAGTCTAACATTCAGTCAGTCGGTTGAGATCCTATGGTTCATGTTTTCCTACGCCTATTAGTTGGCGATGCAGTGCAACCATTATCTCACACCATCTATTATTAGCTTCCCCTCAAACCCAACCTGAATGACCTCACAGGTGTCAGCTTTTCATTGAGTGACTTTAACTTTTAAAACTCTCTATTGTTCTGGTACTCTGAGTGTTCAATAATGAATTACTGCAACAATAAGGCACTAAATAATGAACGTAAAATGACATACTAATCATACCTTTGTTTGAAGAATCATGAATTTTGTGATTTATAAATTATACATTTATGCATGTTAATAATAAGACCACGAACAGTCATAAATTAATAACGTGTCTCGCATTTAAATTAAGACATACAACATTGGATAGTAACAGGTAAGAAGGCACGTAAAACAGGCTATAGAATGAGAGTATAAGAACAATTGTTTTTGGTAAGCGTCTACATTAATTCAGGTCTATTCTAAACAAGTATAGCTGGGTTGCCTGTTTTCGTTTTCTTCGCAACTCCTTGTGGCACTTTTCATGTAAACTGCAAGTCTCATGAAAACGAGTTGAATAGGCTACTTAAACAAACAATCCTTTCTTTATGTGACTAGCAACCTACTTACTGATACCGAGATATGTGAACATAACATGAATTCCACTACTCAGAACTTATCTAGCTGATGTGCAGTTCTAAGAATTTGAATGTTACGTTTAAGAGTTCTTAAGTCTTTGTAAAGGTGTATTTCAGAATAGCTTAAATACTTTCATGTAGTAAGCTTACTAAGTTGCTAAGTGTAAGACAAATCGTTTCAACTGAACATGAACATAAAAAGATAATTAGCAAAAGGAGTTAGTGTGACTACTTTCTTGACCAGCCAACTACATCCATGAAAGGCAGTTTTAATCTGATAATGCATTTTATAAACTCCGTAGAGCACCGGTACTCCTGAGCACGATTTCTTGATCGGGTGAAAAGAAATAGTCTGCATAAATCTTAGGTAAGGTGGTTTTCAGTAACGTTAATAAAATAGCTTTTGATTATTGGTGTTAGTAGGATTATGTGGTGAGGAATAATCAGATGAGCACCTCACCTAAACCAATAAGTGTCTGTTTGTTTAATGTCTATGGAGTACCTCATGTCTTCAAAATATTGAGATATTAGCACCATTCATCCATCAATACAAAGGCGGCCAATGCAATTAACCATTGTGTCTCTGAGTAGAATCTATTATCGTAACTGCTTTCAGTAGTTTTATTTCACATTAGTTTCAAAGTTGTCACCCAATCAGAAAATATTTTATATCACACCAATTTATGGTTATTCCACATCAAATTGGTGGAGGTTGGTGAAAGTTATGGAAGCTGGGTCAATTAGAGATATTCACACAATGATGAGAATTTTGTTTTAGTTAAGTTCTTTCTATATAAAATCATGAAAAGACAATGAGAGACTCAGGAAGAATATAATTTATTTTAATAATACTGGTAATTAAAACAACCTGTATGAATTAATGTCCTCCATTAAATGACCTCAGTTTGACCTTGAAAATTATTTTTAGGTGAAGAGGATAATGCAATTTGCTTCAGAAGCAGCTCTGGCAGCCCCAGCTGAGGCTGATGTTCCATGCCAGCCACAAACACAACAAAACCCAGTGGATCAGATGAATCAAAGTCGAAAGCGAACTTCAGCAATTGCGATGAATATTATGGGATTCTCGAGTCCATCTTCTGTTCCTAGTTTTTCAGCCACTAAATCTGTCAGGACCCTGGCTCGTTACTTAGATATGTGTTTTATGAGACAACGTGAACTTCGTCGATCTATTCTACTTGGTTCCAATCGAAAACCAGAGAAAAATGATCACATGTTCTCCTCACAAGCTGCTGAGGCACAGTGTGACTTTAACCTTCAGGAGACGGCAGCTGGTTTTTTTAAACGGGATCGCACAAACACAAACCGTGTTCGAACTAGTAGTTCACGTATGACAAGATCAGAACTAGTTGAGGAAATTTCAGAAGATGGACAATACTCAACTAGTCAACAATCAACAAAAACTTCAAAGACGAAATGCCTTCACACTTTTAATTGTTCATGTAAACCTTGTTTAAAGCGTAAATCGACGTCTAGTCACTACTCGTACAACAAAAGACAGCAAAAATTACCTAAACAGACAGATTTGCTGCATAACTTGGATGGAAGACCAATCCCAAATAGTTATCCTACCCAAAAGTCATTAGTTGACTTTTCACGGACTGGAAATGACATGTTAATAGATGAGTTTTTGTCAGCATCAAGTAATTGTTGTTCATGTTGGAGTAAGTTTGCAAGAGCAAAGTCATCAGTAACTCAATCAGCGTATGCACCAGCGTGTAGATACCAAGGCAGTTTCTTGTTCGTTTGTATATGCTGGTGAAGTTGCTTTACTTATCGAATGTGATTGGACAAATTTTTCTACTAGAATTTTACACAGGTGTGGAATACAATTTCTATGGAATAAGAGTATTATATGATTTAGCCAAAGGTAGACAGTGGGAAGAATCTGGTCATTTCCCGAGAGTAACATTCTGTGACTTCGAAGCAAAAAAACTTGCACAAAGTCATTAGTAAGTAATCAGTCAACACAAGTATTTATTGTTATATGTTTAGGATATTAGTGTTGACGAAAGTAATAAATTGCAATTAATATATATATATATATATATATATATATGTTTAGTCAAAGATTATTGTTAAATAGACATATTGTAAGAGGCATTTCATTTTTAATACATATTTAATTCTGAGTTGCTTAGTTGATATCATTTTTCTTATCATATCAGTCTTCGTCTGCTAACGCTACTTACTTCGTATAAGTTTCGGAAATTGCTTGATTTTTGCAGGACTTGGTCACAGAATGACAGAAATTATTTTTTGAAAAAGTTAGTGCCTACAGAAGTTTATAGATCACATATAAATTGTAACCACCAAGTGGGGCTCATAAGACTTGCATGCACGGTTGTAAGTTTAAAATATTTGAAGCCAAAAACAGAAGGCTACGGAATCGGGTATTGTCTTTGTTGTCTCTTAAGAGTGAAATATATTTGAATATCTTCTTAGATGATATACTATACCTTTACAGAACCGAAGTTCTTGTAGCCACTGGTGAGAACAACGCTGCTGAGGATTGTCAAATATTGTTCATGGAGTAAATAACAGATAGTGTTGGTTGAATGTTACAACTTCATCGGGAGTTTTCTTGAAGAAAATTTGTGTTTATCTTCTAGATGTTTCCGATACATCATGGATATCTCTCTACAATTTTCACGAGTATATATTCCATTCTTCTGATTTCTTCTGGAGATACTGCACTTTATACAACTACTTTTGTAGCTGTTCTTTGAGCACCATCGGGGTGGCGACAGTAAATAATCACATAGCCTCATTCTGTACTTAACATAAGTGGTTTAGAAAGTGGATGCTATGCAATGCAGCCATAACTGTTGCACCAGTCACATATCCTATTTATTCATATTATTGTAATTGGCATTCTTTGAGTATGGAATCAGTACTGTGGGTAAATTGCATACCACTGTCTGATGACATTTGATTTACTGTTTTTACGGTTGTTTTTCGAAAGTACGGATGTAAATGAAATGATAATGCTAAAAGGTGGTAACTCATGATAAGATTTAATCATCTGCATCTACCATTAAGCCAAACCATATTTTCATCCTGTCCATAGGTTGTTTGTGAAAATACTTCCACTTCTGGTTGCCTTTTTGACAATTCATGTCTCATAAACAAGCTTAGTCAAAAATGCTCGACGGAGAATCGACTGTATTCTATCAGTTACCCAGAAAAAACAGATTATAGGAAATGATCTAAACACGAGAGGCCTTGATATTTTTTAAATTCTTACCCACCCATGTATTCCTGTCTCCCGGGTTGTCATTTTCCCCTTGACTACCCAAGAATTAATGGTTAGAATGCAACCAATTAATTAAAATTCCTAATACTCAGATATAGTTATGTTTACTTCGGGATTATTTCGATGAATAAATGATTCAGCAGTGCTTTTGGATTCAAAGCACTTTTTATTTTGAAGAATTATGTACAACTTTCTAAATGCTTTTCCAATGTTCAGCTGTAACTCAGATTCACAAGACATTCAGCCAGTTACTGGAATACCAGGAATTAACCTTGAGAAAACTATTACAACTAGGTTAGAAATTTGTCAGTCTTTGTAACCATTAGAGACATAATGATGGTTCCTGCTTTCTTAGAGATCAGACATATATACATGCTTCATAATTCTATGTGTAGCATACACAGGTTCTTTTCAAAGATTCAATAACGATTTGTCCAGTTTTATTATCTTTTGTTATTGTGAAACAACTAGGTAACAAACCGAAATAAACAATCGAAATGAAAGTGTTGGACTGAAATAAGAAGATAACACATCTAATGAATCAGCGATACTCTAGACAACAAACTGTACATTTCACTTTAGATACAATATTGGTATAGAGCAAATAACTGGTTTTTTCTAGTTTTGCATTTATATATAGCATGAAAAACAATGTTTTTTTTATTTTAGAAAATAAGGAAAGATGTAATTTTAGAAAAGAACTAATCAAATCGTTGGCTACAAAATATGCTTGAACTAGTGACAAACTAATACTTTTAAATATGATCGTGGAGTGTAGGTGAATCAACTATATTTCCCATTTTGAACCCACTTCTCTGATGGGGACTATAATGATTAGGGTGGTTAGCTTATTACGAACTAACGGTTAAACTTGATGTTCATTTTCTTGTATTACTCATAACAAATGGTGGTCCATTGAGGTAAGTACAACCCGACTTACTACCACTACTACTACTAAGGAAGTTTGGTTAAGTGATCTGCTTTAACAGAACTTACAAAAGAAGTAATGAACAGGCAAATAACTGTTTGAATTAAGTAGGGAGATTCATTGTGTATAGTATTCTGTTCATACAGCTACTTTGGATAGATGTTTTGGCATATTTTATGCATGTCTTCTTGAATACGATGTGAGATATTTCATTGTTACAAGGTAGCATGAAATCAACTCGGTGATATATTTTAAGAACTGTTAAAAGTAATTAAAACAGTCTCATAATGTTTCTGTGATAAGTAGACAACTTCATCTTCCAGCTCCTGATAAATGCAAATGCGCAGATTACTGAATGGAACCTATGGGATACTCGAAATGGCTATAGGTTGAAAGCTTTAAACTAGTACTGTGTATAGTTTACTATAACATTGATCAGCTTTCCAAACATTATATTGGTTATCTATCTATACAATGGATCACTACTCAGGAATCACTTTTTCAGTTTTGATCCTTGTCTAACTAACAATCACCTCAACAAAAACTGAAATCACAGGGATATGGTGAGTTTTGGTTTTGGTTTATTGAGTATTAGGGCCTAAATAACTGTGCACTATGATGTAACTTGGTTGATTGGGACTAAAACTGAAGTTCCAGAAACAGTTTGCCTAGTATAAATGAAGTATATGTGTGAAATCCTAATGAAGAAGAAAATAAATTTCTGACGTCTGGTGAATTCATGGAAATCGCTTCTTCAGAGAAAAAACCCTGTAAAAATAGTAGGTGGTGACGAATCAAACCATGCTGTCTGCATAGGATGTATCGTATATTTAACATACTTAGGAGTGATGATGTTCCTATTTAGAGTCAAGCATAACATGCAGGTAGACAGTTATTCAGAAGGATAGTGAGTCATGGTAACCAACTGTTTTACAATGTGGATTGAATTTTATTATTCTGTTGATCCGAATTCATCCGTCTCTCTTAGGAAATAGGCTTTTGATAGGACTCTTTGGTTTTGGTTTCAATTTCATTCGATATTGTTTGAAGTCCCACACAGGATGCCCTGCACTCTCCTGAATGCCATTGATAACTAAATAATGCGGGACAAAATTCAACTCGATGTTAAGAAAATCGTATAATGGACTATATACCAGCACAGATAGCTAAATTCTGTTCATTAGAATAATAAAAGGTAAATCGAAATGTGCAATTCAATTCTAAGAATTCCATGCAACTCAATCCGGTACTGACATTTATATACTAGTCTATGAGCCATGTTTATTCTCTAAGGAATTATGAAACGATATGCTTTTCCTAACTGAATTCGTTGGCGTGTGAAGTTGAAACTCATTGGCTGAGGGTTGTGTGTTTATGAACCACATCTCCATATGTATGAGCAAATGGAATTTGATTCACATTTCACAGCTGTTGCCTGTCATGACTTAGAAGCCTGGTGGATAACTACATTGCTGTCCACTGCATTAATTCCGAGTGAGAAAACCATTACTACTTGGGAAATTGCATTTCCAATGATGAAGTACTTACTAATGCTAAATCCATGTCCTAAATTTCATTATTTGACACAAACAACCAAAAAGCATTATGTCTCATCACTATTTGGGTGATCTCTATCAACAGTTTCCTTGTCTGTTCAGTTGAAATCCAGAAAATAGTCTTTCTATGAGTTTTCCGAGGTAAACTTGTTGCCCAAAAATAGTGTAACCAGCATAAATGAGGGGAGCATGAGGTTTTTGGATCAAAATGATCAATAAAACTCGTTGGTATCCTTATTTACTGTTACTTTGGGATTTGAAGCGATCAGTGCTGGGTTGAAGCTTTAGTGGGAATGCTATCACTCATTGAGATGCAGGTATATCTAGTTAACGAGTTTTAAATAAAACAGGCGTTATGGATTCAACTAGTAGCCACTTAAAAGCAAATAATATGCTGAATTTGATGTCCTTAAGCATTCTGTTTCCAACTAATAAATTTGGAAAGAAACCTTGTGCTTAAAGAGTCAATGAATTTAACTGCTTGACTACCTAATTTACTTCTTCGTCTGTAACATATTTTAGTGTACATCTGTTTAGTGCGACATGGTTAAGAATGAAGATTACCTATCTGGTGTTCACCAACATTCAGCAAGTGTGACCAAATCAGCTTGCCAATCGGTTGGTGAGTGAACAAGGCAAAACTGATGTATCTACCAATATCTATCTTGAGTAGTTAGTGAAGTTCAGTTGTGGTTTTTTATCAGTAGTATCTTCACCGCGTGGATCTATTAGTTCAGTGATCAGTAACTTCAGAATTCGAGAATGAAAAACAAAACGGTTATTTAAGTCATGTATGTAATTCAGCGTATACGATTAGATTACATATAAAATACAAACGGCCACACTTTACATTGTTGATCTGTAATGGTCGAAAGCAGTTTCCAACTGCTAATATCACTTGTAGACATAAGTAAGAGTATGTTGGTGATTATACGAATGACACACGAAACCCATGTTTTGAGTGCTTAGAGATGTGAAGCAGGCGTAACCATTATTCTTTTCCTGCTGGGTGCTGAATATCTTGGTATCCAACACATACTTAGCAGTTAATTCTTTTGTGACATGTCGGGTTTCTTTGCTTATTTTAATCCTACCGATACAACGTGTGCCATATGCTCAGAATGCAAACCGGCTGAAATTGTTTTTGTGGGCTTATCACTACTGTCAATTTGATGGCAAGAAGATTGTTCGGTTTTATTCTTAGCTTTGACTTGCGTCATATTTCAATGAATATCAATCCATAATTTCATTTTCCAGTCTATGTTTACAGTTGTTGCTATTTATTGAAATACTTGTAATTCTCAGCTGTTTTATCGCATCGAATTGTTCGACCTCTATTGGCATGCCTCGATATTTCCTGAATTTTAATTATGGTAAATTGGTTGGTTGTGGCCCGCAGAGGGATCCAGGACACGCGTTTCGTCCTATTTGGGACTCGTCAGCCGGATGTACCTGCACCGTAGTGAGTGATGTTGATCCCTCTGCTAGCCACAACTAAGTACATTGCCATAATTAACATTCAGACAATATCGAGGCATTTGTCAATAGCGACTGGACAGTTCGACCCAATAAGACAACGAAGAATTACAAATATATCAATGAATAGTAATAGCTACTACCTGTTGTGCAAGAAGTGGCTGTGGTTTCTCCACGGCATAGTGGATAACACCTTGGCATTTGAGACGATGGGTATGAGGTTCGATTTTCAGTGGGAACAACATCACCCACTGGAATGCAGCCACATCCAGCTGACGAGTCCCAAATAGAACGAAACTCGCGTCGTGGATTCTTCTGCTAGCCACTTGCAACCAAATTATGCCTACAGTTGTCTATTAAGTCAACTTTTCATTTCATATTATCCGCCACTGAGAAGATAAGGATCTTATAAACAGCTTTTATAAACAAGATATTTTTGTGGTTTCAAACGTACTGGGAATTCGCGTTTATGTAATTGTGATAGTGTTGTTATCAGAAACTGTGGTTTTGATCTGCGACGAAAATAAATGATTGCTAACAACGCCATTGGACTGACTACAACTTAAGGTCGTTTTCATATTCAACTGCTGCCTATAAGTAATAATTGAAAACCAAGAATATCAGTAATATGGCATTGCCTAAATAAGTAGTAGTAGTAGTACTACTTCCAAATAAGAATGATTCAGTTGTACTTTCTTCATAGTCCTTCTGGTAGGCACCAGAAATTTTGATGTCTTAGTGATTACATAGGATTCCACTTACCTATTTTAAATACTTTGAGTTTTCTGGAGATTTTATTTATTTCAGGGTAGTATTCATTACGAACTGGCTTCACTATGAGAACCGCCGAAAACCAGGGGTCTCTGGACAGCTGCTTTGTCTTTGTTTGGGAATGCTCACCATTTCACATTCATCAGCCCATCAGGGGTTGAACTGAGCAGCATAAAGTTTCAAACCAAGTGCGTCAACCGTTTAGTCACAGCATCAAAGTTCAGTGGTCAAAGGTTTTCTACTTCTGTCAATTCGCGATATAGCACGATTATACATCCAGTCAGTCGAAGGTGAAGCAGATGCTAACTGAAGAACTTGATGAGCGGCCGCACCACTAAATTGTGACATGGTGGCTGAATGGTTGTCACGTTTGCCTTGAAATCTTAAGATGCTGAGTTCGATCCGAAATGGGGTCGTAGGAGCGAGCTGCTGAGAAGTCCCCTATTAGGAAGTGAAAGTTGTCCAGTACTGACAGGTTTCCAGTGGTTCCCCAATGGATGTTACTTCTTGACAAGTAATACCCTAAAAATAATTTAGATATTGCCTATAGGAGGCAATACGTTTGTTGATAGTGGATTAATATTTGGTACAATGCGAAATTCCGGAAGTGTATATTCAAATAAGGATGTTTGGTTTCATTGTAAGTTTTCTATTGACATGAAAGCTATAAGTCAAAAAAGATAACTTAGAAGTAAGGATCAGATGGTGATCAGAAATGCTGAGACAAGAAGTTCTGTTAATTCAGAAGTCAGAAACTAGGGAACATTATATCCCGAAAATATCTTTCAAATCGGAATATCTAGATAATTCTTCGGATTTGAAACCGTTGAAGATTTCTTGAGCTGTGTTGAACACTACAACATGCATATGACGCAATTTTTAAGCAAATGCTATTCAGTAAAAAGTGTGAGTGCATTAGGATCTCGTAGCTCAGTTGGTAGAACACCGTACTGGAAGCTCGGCGTTCCATGGTTCGAGTCCTGCTGCGACCTAAATTTTCATTGGGACCATTCGACGAAGTCTGTGACTGTTGGTCTGAATCGTGTGTAAAGGTGCAGATTGTCTGGTTGAGGTCCTTAAGACGAGAGGAATCAGTGGTTTATGGCAGAAAATCCGTCAGAATAGCTCAGATGTATTCACACTTTGAGGTCTCCTAAAGGTTGAATGTTTGCACTAACCATTACTTTCAGATTGCTTATTCTTTCACACAACTTTGTCTATCTTGATATCAGTCTTCTTCTGTCCATCTGTTCTTTATGTGCTACTGTGAAGAGTGGCAAGTTGAGACGATGCAGTTGTGTGTGAGGTTCTACGTTAATTTTTTCAGTCAGTCAGTGAGTTTCGGACTTGTTCATACTTTTGTTAATCATTTACCTATAAGAAGAACAGTATGAACTAATGACTTTTCGAAACTTGATTTTTATAGATATACTGTGTATGTTTGGATTATTATTACTTCCTCCTGAACACTGATTTACTTATTTAGAGATTATGTTTCTTTCATACTGTAGTATTATAGTCTAACAAAAAACAAATAATCTGTTTGCTTTTTTGTTTTCCATATTTTAGTTACACATTACAGTGTGTACTTCCAATTAATATGTTCTTGGAGAAGATTTACATATTCTTGTGGCTTTGGTTCTTCGTGGTTGGGATTGTCACATTTTGTAGTATAGTGGTATGGATTAAAAGAATGGGAACACAAAAACTCAGATTAACATGGATTCAGCAGCAATTGATAACTATACGCCAGTATAATAAAGACGCTAAAAGTTTTGCACAGTTTGTGAACAATCATTTAGGTCCAGATGGAGTATTTCTGTTAAGACTAATTGCACAGAATTACGGAGATTTAGTGGCAGGTGACACTGTTGGTGAACTGTGGGTGGCATACTGGCAGAGAAGATCAAAAAATTTATCAGAGCGAAGACGTATAGAAAGCAATTCAAGAATACCAAATTCAGTAATAACACCTCTTAATAGATTTGATCAACCTGTATCCACCGCTGCTTGCTCTAAGAATTCATCATCAAGAAACCAGCCTTACGGTACATATCAAATGTCAACAGCTTTAACAAGAGAGCAGATGGAAAATAAGACTTCTAAGCAGACTAAAAAAGACAGATCACGTCGTACTGCTGTCGCATCGGGGGTTCCAACTGCAATGTTAGCAACGGAGATGGTGCATCCTGCGGACCGATATGGAGTCCCTTTAATAGCAGCTACTCGAAAACCACCATCCGTGCCTTCTCGATCGTCTTCAAGGTATAGTCAACGGAGCAGATCCAGAGAACGATCGCAGTCACCTCCACCGATACCTTCACGATCTCCAGGATGCGAAAACTATAGTTTTAGTGACAAACAATCATTAGGAGATTTTGAACATCAAAGTGAAAACTCATCTGTCGTTTACCCAGTATCGTCTACAGGACCAGAAGAAGGAGAAAATGTTGGTCACCAAAATGAAGACGTTGCAGGAACTCATCAGGTGGCAAGTGTCCAAGACTCATTCGAATACGAGGATTCACAAGGGAATATATATACAGAAAATCTGAATGACCAGTTCACAGAAGACGTTCAGAATGATGACAATATTGTTTAAGTTATCAATTTTATAGTTTTATGAAAAATCTTCCCTTTTTTAGTTGAACTCTAATGACCCATGTCTTTCAGATTCGTTTGTTTGAAATATTCTTGGAATAATTGTACAGTAAATTGTGTTTTATATGGTTGCTTAAGTGAAGAAATGATGACCTAACAACAGCTTTACCAGATAAATCACATTAATTAAAGTAATAGTTTTCAATATATTCTAAATTTGACGATTACATTTCGCGTAAGCAATTCGTTTACTTGGTTTAAGGTTAGATTAGCAAGTTGTCTCAATTAGGTTTGTCAAATGCATAAGAGACTTTATCTAAATTTTCATACTTTTGTACTGTAATTTACTTTTCAGTCGTCTACAAGCTGACTGACTTTCAGCTGACTGAATCAGAAGTTTGCATCAAAATTAAAGTACAAATATTTTTCTAGACTTGCATGAGAAATCATACCGAGAAGCTAGGTACCAAGAACTACGGTATATGTAACCAGGTAATCATTTCATCTCCGCACAAGTGTTGCGTGTATAACGATATTACTTAAGCACTTGGATATATGCTATTGTTTGAGCTAACTGTCACAAGTTTCGGAGTACCTTAAAAACCTCACCTCTCAGACTGTTATGATATTGACTAATTGATTCTGCTTACTCAAAAGACACAGACAGGAAATCCTGCAACACTATAACTAACACTGACGGAAATTATAAAAAACAACCTTACCTTGAATACTGCTGTAGAAAAACGAGTGTAAGTAAGACTTGCAGTTCTCTTCATACATTTTGATGAAATATAAAACAGCATCAACGCGTTAACATAAGCAAACTGAAGATGATTAGAGAATGCGAAGCGCTTTTGAACATTAATTAGTGTTATATAAATAAGCTTCAATAATACCTGTGCTTTCAGTTTTGATATTGACGCATAGTGGCTAGCAGTGAACTCTGGGAAGCGCGTTTCATCCTACTTTGAACTTTTTGGCTGGGTGTACCTGCCTCCTAGTGTGAAGTGAGGTTCGTACTATGACTCGAGCCCGCTACCGATCTCTTCTAACACCACAGCTTTATCCACTAAGCCACCAATTTATGAAAGCCACTCATTTGGAGACGGATATATATGTTTCCTTGATGTTATATATTGTAAGCTCTGGCATTTGAAGCCATCATTTCTCGACTTGAGTTTTAGTGCGAACAACATTGCCCACTGGAGGGCAAGTAAATCCAGCTGACAAGCCCTTGGTTCCACTGCTAGCCCCCACCATCATTAAGGTCTATTATTGGTTATCTTGTCTGTGCACATAAGATATGCATGAGTTCTCTGAAACTAAATTTGTTAGTTTTTGTAGTATCAATACACGAGACTGTACATTTATTTATAAATTTAAAAGTCATTATACAGCCATAAAAGAACACTCAACCTTTAAGATCATTAATGAGTTGTTTATGCAGCAAAATATATAAACCTTTTTCCAGTATTAGTAAGAATACGTCGTGAATTTTCTATGTATAATATATATATATATATATATATATATATATATATATATATATATATATATATATATATATATATATATTAAAGAACTAATTATTCGACGAGCTTCCAAACTGCTCTGACCTTAGTTTCGAGGTCATTAAAGTTTTTTACTCTTATGAAGTTTCCCCTGAACGCGCAGTATGGTATCACATCTTTTATAATACTCGTACGAAAGACCAGTGACCTGACTGGAGGTTGCGTACAGATGGGTCATCATAATTTATGATGCAAAGATTCCTACCTGATGAACTACAGGTGTTAATGAATTAAGCCAGTGTGATGGTATTCGCATGAATAGAGATTTCTGATGTTATGAAGTAGAGTAGATAGGATCAGTTAAAATTCACTGGCAAAATAGCTCATGGCTTCCTAGTGATTTTAAATTACTATCAGCTTAGATTAATCCATAAGTCACATACAAGAGGTGGAGGTTAACAGTGATATACACAGTGTCGACTGTGAGTCGTTGTGTGTTATTCTGGCTCATGTTACATCTCTCCAATCAGTTGTAAAGGTGATGTTTCACTATATCTAGAGAATACGCTCGTTCTTGCATGTTTTACCATCGGACTTTAGTTTTATAGAGTAAAAATGCAAATCGTCAACAACAGAATTATGAAAATTCAACAGTCTGAACAAAGAATATTTTCAATAAATTCTCAGGAGGTTCTACAATCATAAAATGCATTTGAACGGTGTAAAAGCAGGGGAGGTTATGAGTAAATACAGTTCAGAATGCTATATGACTTGAGAACTGTTAGAAAAGGGATTTTACTTCTTTAATATGTCAGTATTAAGATTACATAATAAAGACGAATAATGAGAAGGTTCACGAGAAGCCATTGAATAAGGAAAACAATAGTGACCTTTAGTTCGCTGAAAGCCAAGGTCGGAATAATGAGTGCTTAATCGGATTCTTTCTGAATGTTCAGTTCAGGCTTGATCAACTTTATTACGACAGCCTCAGCTATTTTGAACAAGTGTTGGTGAAATACACTTTCTATTGTCTTTGTAAAACTTTATCGCCATCGATATGATACTCTACGTCCACTACGTGATCTAAGGCGGAACTTTCCACCAACTTTACTTTGCCTTTTCCGCACCAAGACGGATTTGAGAGCTTTTACTGGCTTGGTTCGGAAAAAGAAAAGTGAGAGTCGTGAAGAGTTACGCAGTAGATTCAGAGCAACGTATAGATGCTAACAAAGCTCTTAATGTCATACAACGTATTTCAAAAACAATACTACGTGTAGACGTTCAAATTTTATCTTTATAGTAATTATGGGTTGAGGTTTACGTCCGTCCTTCTGCACGATTGTATGACAGCATACATTTTCACTGAATAGCTGGTTTGTTCTTTTTGGAAAGTGTTGCACCTCACTGAAGACTGTCATACCAAAATGAAGCACCTATCCAATTACCCTGCGGTTTTAACGGTGATTTAACTAGCTATCTTGAAAATAATGAGATAAGTTCTATGTATTTATGTAACAATGTCAAACTGTGACAACTATTTGGTATTAACACAACTAGCTATCATTCGGACCACTTATAAAAAACATCATTGTGCGGAAAAATATGTGCTTCAAAATCAACCTTAAAATGATTCCTTGCTGATTTTATCAAGTCCCTCACAATGCAATGAAACTGAAGCTAGGTAGTTGTTTGATTTAGATTGAAACATTTGGATATGATCATCGTAAATATAAAGATCAGTCACAGAAAACAATTCAAGTACATGATAAAAGAGTATATGCTTTTTGAAAATGTCTGTGCTCACCTCATTTGTACATTTTCAGTAAGTGGATGACTGGTCATTAGCATCGTTTCCTTATTACGTTTTCTCGTGAATAAGATGCTGAAGTAATTACTCGACTAAAACTTGTGTTGTCCTACCAATAATAAAAAAAACAATCAGACTAGGAATGTTTTTAAATTGTTTAGTGGGATTCAGTGTCTTATTATATTATAGCTATATTTTTTCCAAGGATGTTACGCTTTACAGCCAACTATTTCCCAGAAACCTAAAGACTTTCTTTTTATTTCGTTATTTTCAAGCAATGCATCTTAGCATTACCTTTGCAGGAGTTCTGTTACGGTAGATAGACATACTAACTTGCGTTCAAAATCTTTTCCAATATCATTTCATACTCATGTATTTTTAGGAAAATAATGCAAAAAAAGCATAGATAAGCAGCTGCCATTGATTAAGTGGATCATGAATAATTTGATAGGCTGTAGTCTTACATAACTAGTTATTCAGTAAGTAACAGATTTCCGGTGGGGTTGAACTTGTTTTCATGAAATCCCACTTTAAATTCCATTGCTAGTTGACAATAACAATAATGAATGAAACAGTCTGAAATGGATTTCATTGAAAGATTGTGTTTTTACACATGAACGATTACAGAAATTGATCCATTATCTTTGTGATATATGGGGATGAATCTATAATGCATAGTTTTATCATTAATTCATCAACCTTTCTTTCTGCATTGCGTTGGTAGATGCTTAGTTGTTTGATAAATGGGAAGTGATTACCAGAGTTTGTTTACTGACGTTCCAAACTTACTAGGTCCGATGGCATCACTTTCACTTAGTGTTTCTTTGTCACATTGTGGTTTAAATTGTAGTTTTTCTAAATTATAAGCCTGTCCAAAAAACGTAATCAATTATTTAGTCTTTCTTTCGAGCCAAGAATACATTCAGTTCGTATTGGGGATATTTTTGCTATTCTGCACAGCATAATTATTAAATCCTTAGAGGAAGATAACAATGAACTGTTTTTCTTCAATTTTCTTTGAAATTTTAGATAGGCTGATATAAAGAACCTGATTGATTCGTACCAATACATCATATTGAATAATACATTACATTTTGTGGTACCTAGAAGCATGAATAGGGTGTAAATAATTCCTGTATCTTAGGTTTTGTAGATGTTCAAATTACTTCATTCCTTCCATTCCAGCACTAGGTAAAGAATCATCATATGTGCTGAAACCTAGTGGTAGAGATGAGTGAGGCAATTTTTCATTGATTTTTTGGGCAGTAATTTAACCAACAGATGATCATGTTTTATCTCAGTCAAGACATAAGCAATACATATATGAATAATTTTGCTTCAGTATATGTAGCCAATACAAATCACGAACGTTTTGTCGTCTTACATACCATATGAATGGAACAAGCTGCAAAATGGTTGATAGCTACTTCAACTTCTTCTGGAGATAGTAACAGAAGTAGAAAATGTAGTCACATATTCATGATACTTTTCATACTGCACTACCAGCGAGCAGTATGAGCATTCATACAACCTCCTGGACGTATGCAGTCTGATTTTCAGTGACTACTCTCTTTAAATGTAATGATACTAGTTATTTCATGCGTTTAGTTTTGAAAGGATTACAGGCAACTAGAAAACCCTGAATCCATCCAAATTCATAGGTCATTCACAGTGTATAAGACG